TTAAAAAAAAAAAAAGTCAATTAGATCATGCAGAAGCTTAAATCTCAGAGGTAGAAAACTTCCGACTAGAAAATTTTACCAAAAAGACTGAGCGACTAACTCAAAAGAATGAGAATAATATATGAGTAATGCGAGATACCTTTAAATGCCCAAGCATCTAGATACTTGGTATCCCAGAAGGTGAAGAAACTAATAAGGGCATTGATAATCTATTCCATGAAATCCTGAAAAGAAAACTTTCCAAACCTAGGGAGGCATTCAAATATCCAAACCCAAGAAATACAAAGGACCCCCACATAGAATCAACCCAAGAAGATCTCCAAGGCACAGCACAGCCAGATTGACCAAAACCACAGAGACAAGATACTACAATCGGCAAGGAAGAAATATCATGTTACTTTCAAAGGATATCCCATCAGGCTAATGTCAGACCTCTCATCGGAAACAGTGTTTACAAGTAAAGAATTAGAAAATATATTCAAAGTGTTAAGTAAAAGACAATTTCAAACAAGAATATTGTTCCCAGAAAAATTATCCTTCATAAGAGAAGAAAAGGCAAAAGCATTGTCAGATAAACAAAACATGAAAGAATTTACCAATATCAGACCAGCTCTCCAAGAAGTGCTGAAGGGAGTGCTACACCAGGAAAACTAAAGTCAGACACACAGAAATAAGAGTACAAAAAACAACCAAGAGAATGGCCAGCCTAATGATAGGGACAAGGCCAGAAAGATCAACAATAACTTTGAATATAACTGACAGAATTTAAACAGAAAGATCAGACCACAGTAACACTGCAAATTTAATAGGAGATTAATTTCAGGAGACTAAACTGGTGAAATAGAATTTTTACTAAAACTTTAAAACTTTAGTTGACTAAACTTTACTGCTTTCTTCTATGTTTTGTGGACTAGATTTAAGGATTTTTGTCTTCTCTTAAACTGTTGATAGGTTCACCTACCTAGTGCTTAAACGGAATCCTAACCTTTCTCCTGGCTTTAAGTCTTGAGCAAATTTCTCCTAACTTTTTTTTTGATCTAGTAAAACCGAAACTGTTTTTCTTGAAATAAAAAAATACATTGAAAAATAGCTATTTAATGACTGCAGTAAGCTATATAGCCCCAGCTAGGTGTACTTTATAGTACATTCATTCTATTCACTGAGGTTTACGCCTAAAGTCAGACATGTGTTCATGTAAATATATACATCAGCTGTGCTTGCTATTGAAAGTATTTAGATTAATTAACATCTTTAGCCAATCAATAAAATGTGAAAAAGAAAGGGGGAGGCATGGAAAGCAACCGAAAAAAAACAGAGACAGTGTGTCAAAGGGTGGGAAATGGCAGAGGTGAGAGATAGGAAATCAAGCTGGGGTTGGGGGACAGACAAAATAGCTAAGAAACAAGAAATGGAAAATTATTTGTTGACAATAACATGAATGGCAATATCCTCGATTGAGCCAATATACAGTGTATTCTGGATGGAAAATCTCATTTTGTATACTGTAATGATATACAGCGAATGAATGTAAATAAATAAATTTAAAATAGAAAATTAAATTTAAAAATGTTTAAAACATGCATAGATTTGCCTCTTAACAGAGATAACTTAAATGGTTTGTCCATATTATTGCTTTAGAATTCAATCACTTTTGAATGATAGCACATTCTTTCACATAGTAAATTAATTAGTGTACAGACAGGGGATAGGGGGTCACTATAACAATTAACTTAAACATTTTACTTAAGTCACAGAGGAATGTTTAAAGGCATGGATTTATTATAAGTAAACCACCTAACATAATAGTATGAGTGTTTAAATATATAACACACATAAATATGTATATATACACACACGGAGAAGTGTTTTATATATAGATAAATATACACATATATACATTACATATACTATAAAGTTTATAGTATATTCTATGTCATACAGCATTGAACAATACCAGGGAATACTTGAGAGATGAGACTGATTTATTTTCTTTTTTTTTAATAATTAATGCAGTTTATTTCTAAGTATGAATTGAGTCACTGATCCAGAGAAAGACAATGTTTCTAGGGGTGCTGAGATACAGTAGTTTCTTTTATACAGTTTTGAAGACAGGAGAGTTGTCCATTTATTTTCTTCTCTGTGCTTCTCCTTATCTTCCAAATATTTTAATTTTAAAATTAAAAAAATTTTAATAAGGGCTACAAGGAATATAACAATGAACATAACAGTACAGCTGCCTTTAAGCACTCACTCACATGTGGATCAATTTTTTGAAAAATTCTGGAAAGTGCAGAAATAAAAATTGAAAACAGAAGGGAAAAAAAATAGAGCCAAAAGAGAAGCAGGGTAGTAAATAAAAGTTCCAAATGAGCTAATTCTCTGAAGAATAGATCAAGAGAAGGAAAGACTGAGAAGGCAATTTCAAAATAGGGCCTTTCCCTGGTAGCCTAATATCATAAAACTTAATATAAGATAAATGTGGCATCCCAAAAGGAAAGAACAAAAGGAATAAGACCATTTGTTAGCCATTTCAGATAAAACATCTACCCAAACTTAAATATTAAATAATGTGTGTAACTACTGAAATATTTATTAAACATTTAAAAGCATGTATTTAAACAGTATGTATTAAAATCTTCAAAAAACATAAATGACAAAAATGTAATAAATAACTCACAGAATTTTTTTTTCTTTTTTTTGGAGAGGTTTTTGCTATAGGGCACGTACACTCGCCAGAAAGACAGAGACAGAGAGATAGAAAGCGAGAAATCACCCCCCAGGGTGGATGGCCACGCCACAATCCCTTCCCCTCCATTCTCCTCTCAGGATCTTGGGCACACACGCACACGCACCCGGCATGAGCTTAAGCCACTGGGTCCAGGACTTGAACCACAGTTGACTACATGGGAGTTCAGCAACATAGCCATTATGCTAACTGCTGGTCCCACTCACAGAAATTTAAATAAAACAAAGCACTAAGATCCTA